CCCCAACAAAACTGGACTCATTTGGCATCAAGTCAATTCCAACTCATAGTGACCCTATAAGACAGGGTGCAAATGCCTGTGTTTCCAAAACTGTAAACTGTTCACCAGGAGGGGAAAGCCCCGCCTTTCTCCCTTGGAGCAGGCTGGTGGTTTCAAACTGCTGCTCTGTGGTTAGCAGCCTAACGCTTAACCACGATGCCACCAAGGCTCCTGGGAAAATGATCAGCAAATGGGAAATGTGTGAAAACGCAAATGACAGAGGTGGGGGTGGGGGTGAGGGCTGTGGCTATAGGGTGGCCATGAGTCCAAATCAACTCAATGGCTGTGAGTTTGCACTTCTTGGTTTGGTGGGAATACTCAATAACAACAGTGGCCTGTGCCTCATGGCAACCCCATGTGTGTTAGGGCAGAGCTGGGCTCCACAGGGTTTCAGTCGGGTCCGGCTGATGTGGGCGAAGTACATTGCCAGGCCTTTCTTCCCAAGTACCCAGGCTGCCAGGGTGGACTCAGATGGCCAGACTTTTGGTATGGAAACTGAAGCACAGGGGCCCAAGTAACTTGCCCAAAGGCCATAGCTAGAAAATGGCAGAGCCAGGATTTGAAGGCCTATTTGCCAAACTGCAGAGCTGATGGGAGCCCATCCTGCTATAGTGCCTCCTGGGCTCTCGAAGCTTACTGACCAGCCCCGGGTCCTGCCTACAGTCTAGGAACCCACTTGCTACCTCGATCCCAGGTCTAGGGACAGGCTGGAAGCCGCAGTTCTAAACTAGCCACCGAAGAGGGAGTCTTTGTAAGCAGAGTGGCTGTGTCCCGCCACTCTCCTGCAGTGCTGGGTAAGCTATTGCACAGGGTCCTCAAAGGTAAAGATGAATGGAAAGCACCTTTCATCAGAGCCCCGGAGATCACAGCTTGTTTAATTGTTTTCTAAGTGTTGGTGAAACAGCGTTCTGATAGTGCCCAAAGAGCACAATTATCTTTAACAAAAACACCCGTTTGCAGGCAGTAAACATTCTTAAAAACAGAACGGTACAGAGAAAAGCACACTACACGCATACAGCACACACACACACATTCTTAAGAGGATGTAAAATAATGTAAATCAGCGGCTGCCTACACAGCTAGATGGGTGGGAAACAGGTAAAATGGCATTTGACAGAGTCCACGGGGAATTCTCAGAGTAAACTCAGACACAAATTGATTTGCGTGCATATTTACGCTGCGAACGCTTAGTGCCCACACTGTAGCTTTCTGGAGTGTGGGGGTAGACGCCGTGGCTCAGTGTTGGCTCTGGTCCCGTCGTGGGCCACCGGTCCTGTGGAGGAAGGTGCTCCGGTGGACACACCAGCTCTCCAGCCGCCACCAGAGCCCACTGAAGCCGAGTTTCGTCTGTGCTCTGCAGGCAGCTAGGGCCCAGGATGGGGGAGGCCATTGAGATGTCCTCAGAGAAGTCACAATAAATACAACAGGGGACAACAGCGTCAGCATGGCCAGGAGCCATGGCCAGCATCCTCAGGATGTGTGCCTAGGGATTGCTGAGTAGAGCCGATTGGGAGACCAAGAAGCCCAAGCACCAGGTGACATCAGACAGCTCACATCACTGCCGCCAGCCCTACCTAGGATCATGGGCAAGTCATTTAACCTCTCCGGATTGAAACCTCCCCCTCCAGGGGTGGGGACAAGATCGCTCAGCAGTACAATACAATCACAGCACTGTCAAGGAGCACTGGTGTAGGAGCCCTGGTGGTGCCGTGGGTTATGCACTGAGCCGATAACTGCAAGACAGTAGGGTTCAAATCCACTAGCCGTTGCTCCTGAGAGCGCGCTGCTCAGGCTGTCTCCTCCCGGGAAGACTCTTAGTCTCGGAAACCCGCAGGGCCAGTTCTACGCTGTCCTACAGGCTCGCTAGGAACTGGAACAGACGATGGCAGGGAGTTTGGGGTGGGTTGCGCATGTATGGGGACCGGTCTAAAGGTGTCTGTTTGTCTGGGTGTTACCAGTTGCCATCAAGTCAACGTCAGTTCATGAAGACCTCATGTGGGTCAAAGAAGGTCTGTGCTCCATCGGGATTTTAAGGGCTGGTTTTTTGGGAGTAGATTGCCTTTCTTCCGAGGAGCCTCGGGATGGACTTGAACCTCCAACATTTGGGTCAGCGGCCAAGTGCAAGAACCATTTGCCCCACCCAGGGACTTGGTGTGTGCATTAGCACACATAAAAGTGTCTCAGCAAGAGCCCTAGAAAGTAGACTGTTTTTAGTCCCATTTTCCAGAGGGGAAGGGGGACCAAGGAAATGAATTGCACAAGTAGCTGGAAGATTTTTTTTCCGCACTGGAAGATTCTTTCACAATATCAAAACAAAGTTTTATACCTAAATGCAGTCCAATGTTGTGGGAAACAGAAAGATTTCTCCCAAGTTGTCTCCCCCAAATATATGCCAAACTTAGCTGTTTGCTACATGTGGTGTGTGACTGTACACTTGGAGGTCAACAGAAGTAGGTCAGGGGTTATTCTCCCTAAGGGTTATCAGCCATCCAGAGCAAGCAGTCACCACTGTTTATCCCACGATAAGTTAAGCCCGCTCCCTTCTGATAAGGATAGTAGATTGTTTCCCTGACTGAGAACCCAGGGAGGTCAAGCCCACTCAAGGGTGACCAAGGTTAGGCGGCCATCATGAATCTAGGGTCCGCCTTTGTTAAATGTGTACCCCTAGTCCCTCCCCTTCTGATCATGTGTACACCCCCAGCTCATCCCCTCCCTGTTATACTTATGCCTATTGTATATCCCCCTCATACTGCTTGTATTGCCAATTGTACAGCTCCTTCCTGTGCCGTGTGGGGTTACCTATAATCAGGCCCCCTAAAATGATAGATAAGCCTTGGTTAACAATGAACATCTCTCTCCTGCGTTCCCCGGCCTTCTCAGCTGGC